TTCTTATTCGTTTTGCTAATAAACTTTCTACGTTTCTTATTTATTTGGTTATATATTGTACATGTTTACTTATTTCCAGTTTTGTATAGGCTACCTATTTAAACTTTATGTAAGTTATTTGTTATTTTATATTAGGCATAGCCTGCCCTATAGCATGGTGTATTTTTATTCGGTTTGTTAAAAGTTCTATGTTTTATATATAGGCTAAAGCGAGTTTGACGTTGTATTTTGTTGTTGCATTCAAGCAATTGACGCCAAATTGATGCTAATTCGCTAAACTATTTAAAAGCGAAGGAAAGCGAGGAAAAGAGGGAAAATTCAAATGAACTAAAAACGAACAATTGCTTTACGCCGAATTGCCACTATTTGAAAGTGAAAGTAAAATGCGCACACCGCTTTTGCAAGCTATTTAAAAGCGAAGGAAAGCGAGGAAAAGAGGGAACGCCCCTGCCCCCACGGTGATACCGGTATTATCGGTGTTGTCACACATCGATTAACCAGTGGGAAAATTTCCTCACCGTCACAACCCTAACAGGAACAAGTATGATACATAGAAATTTCGTGTCAGTGCTTTATTTGAGTGGACTTTGTGAGCATTCGCATGGGCCGTCAGCAACTCCGTTGAACGCACATTCATAGAGAGGAATATTAAGCGGAGCGTCTCACCGCTCAGTGACGACTGCTATAGGGAGAGTGAAACCTGCGGGTATATATGCGGCACGCCATATATTTTCAGCCGTTATTGTCTTTTGGCCAAAAACCGAAAATGCCATTTTCTCCAGATAATTTTTGGTGCATCCCTGGTTCAAACGAGAAAATTTACATCCAAGATGTAGGTGAGTTTGTTTCTTCATCAGAATATTTAGCATTCCATCACTTGCTCACCAATGGATCCTCTGCAGTGAATGGGTGCCGTCAGAATGATCCAAACAGCTGATAAAAACATCACAACAATCCACAAGTAATCCACGCCACTCCAGTCTGTCAGTTAACATCTTGTGAAGTGAAAAGCTGAGTGTTTGTAAGGAACTAATCCACCCTTAAGGCATTTTTACTTTAAACCTTTGCTTCTGGCCAAGTCCACATTCCATAATATTGGTTTCTCCAGTGAAAAATTCCATCCCATGTTGTCCTCTCACATGAAAATTTACTGACATATTTGTTTAGAACTGTTTTCACTTATAAACGGTGCTTGATCTGTGCATATTTCTCTCCTGATTTAGACAAGATGACTTTGTCTCTGGAGAAAGCAATATTATGGATAGAGAACTCATTTTAGCCAGAAGCGATGGTTTGAAGATAAAAACGTCTTAATGATGGATCTGTTTATTACAAAATTTACGTTTCACAAGACATTAACTGATGGACTGGAGTGGCGTGGATTATTGTGATGTTTTTATCAGCTGTTTGGAGTCTCATGAGCAAGTGATGGAATGCTACATTCTCCAAATCTGTTCCCATGAAGAAACACATCTACATTTTGGATGGCCTGAGGGTAATTTTTCCGCTAGTTTTGGTTTTTGGGTAAGTACTCCTTCAAGTGTTTGACTGATTCAGACCTCTGCTAATCGATTCAGCCAATTTATTAATATGAACCGCCTCAATTGAGTGAATCTTTCATGAATTGGGCAGCACATTATGCTTTGTTCATGGTTGCATGCAGTCAGTGAGAACAACGCTGCACAATGTTTTTCTTTCTCATCAGACAATTCAAAAGCTGACAACTCATCTACAATATATATGCACATTTTTTACCGTGTGGCTGCAGCTTCAGCGACGTCGCTCCTGAATAGCACTACATGATGCACTGGTGTGTGCAGTGCCGTGCAGCTCTTCTGTGGCTGCAGTAATTGAAACATTGTAAGCTTTTAATCATCTCTGACTCATTAAAAACACCATGTGTATTAATGAATATATTAAACTGCTTAACGAGACTCTCTTAATGAGGCTCTTAGGATGGAATGGATCCTCCTCCGTGTGCAGATCTGGTTTTTATTTACTTGGAAATGAGCTCAGATCACAGTTTTTACACAAGAAGTCAGCCTACTTTTGGCCTACCTATAGTTAGTGGTTGGTTTAAAGGATTTGATGTCCAATAAACTTTCTTTAATTGTATTATTATTCTTTTTTAATTTTTTTTATATATAATTTCAGATTTAATTTCATTACACTCCCAATGTACGACTGTCTAACTTTTAGTTAGTGGGGTTTGCTTGCATAGCTATTTCTCTGTTTGGTGATTTTAACACTGCACATTTGTCTTATTATCATGAATGATACCTCAAATCATCTGGCAGAACGCCCTTCTTTAGTTTATTATTTTATTTGATTGGATTTTATAATTTTTTTTTAATAAAATAAAATGTATAAAATATTTAGCATTTTTCATGCTTTAAAAAATATATTATTTAGCTTCAAACTGCAAACAAATCTGAATACACTTTTTTATTTTCTTTTGGTCATACCAATAAACCACTAAATTGAAACTGAAATTAAATTGAATCTGAAATTTAATTTGGAGAGAAGAAAAAAAAAGAGAAGAAAAATACATAGGATTGCATTGAAAGAGAGACCCGAGCCATATCTAGCTTTAGGATATCATAAAGACTTGGCATTATTTTTTGTATTTTATTATTATTATTTGTTTAATTTATTTTTTATTTTATTAAACATTTTATTTTATTATTTATTTAATTTGAACTATTTATTACTTTTTTTGCTTTTCATATTATTATAATAATCAATTTTTATATTATTTTGCTTTTAAATAAAATGAATAGCACCTTGGTGGCAACTTTTCTGCTGATACATTTCCTTTCCTTTTTTTAATTTGTTTTCAAATTATCAAATATTTGAGTTTTTAATATATTTTTTTATATTTTGTTATATTTGGCTTCTAACATAGCTAAGCTACAAACAATCTTAAATGCACAATTTTTTTTATACCAACTGAACACTAAATTGAGAACTGAAATTAGATTTGGAGAGGGGAAAAAATGGCAAAAAAGCACTACACATAATTGCACTGAAGGATGGACCCAAGCAATATCTAGCTTTAGGATATCATAGAGACTCGGAGGTGGGCTCTTTTTTACTTGTTACAGTTTGTAAGCACCTCCAACAACTCCATCATGCCAGTGTTGCACTGCATGGGCAAGCACCACTAAAATCCTTTTCTTTTTACTTAGAAATGATCTGAGCTCATTATAATCTCTGTGCCAGCTCTCTGGCATTCATTTAAAAAGCCAACACTTCAGCTGGGTTAACAGTGACGTAATTAGTGACTTTTCAGAGCCATTCCTGATGTCTTAAAGAGGCGGCACGTGTGGGGAACAAGATGTGCTCTCAAGCATGCTGTTAAAAAAATTCGTTAAACCGAGTGTTACGTGCTGTGCTATTAAAATCAACCTTGAGCAGATTGTACAACACTTTCATCTCATTTTGATCGCTCTCCCTCTCTCTTGTTCTCAGGTTATGTGTTCTGCATGTTGCACCGGTTGCCGGAGCAACACGACTGTATGTTTGACCACCTGGGCCGTGGCCGAGAGGAAGCTGTGCTGAAGATGGTTAAACTGGACCGCAAGGTGGGCCGAACCTGCCAGCGCATCGGAGAGGAGTGCTCTTGAACGCCCCCCTACACACACTCTCTCTCTCTCTCTCTCTCTCTCTCTCTCTTTCTCTCTCTCTCTCTCTCTCTCACTCACACACACACACACACACACACACACTTGTCCACCGACCACATGACTCACTCACCTGTTAGTGGCATCTTTTTTCCTCCAACACATCTCAGAGGACCTACACCCCTGCTTGACCTCTGACCTGTGACCCCTCTCAGTAGCCTCGTGCTCATCACACACAGGCGACCCGCACAGCCTTAACTTTCTGTTATCTGTCCCTCCACACATCCAAACGCAGGTCAGTAGGTCAGATGAATTTGGCAGTCTGCTTTGGAGAACTGCTCTCGTCTCAGAGGCTGCGATCGACTCCAGGGGAAACACATCGATCGATCGAGACCCCTGGGAA